AAAAAAAAAAAAAAAGAGTAAGTTCTTAAAATATTTTATTAATAGTGGGGGGTTTATTCATTTAGATTTGTATAACATGGGAATATTTTTTTCTCTGAATTGAAGTTTTTTTCTGGTATGGATTTTGAAGGTAGGACCTTGCACTTGATAGGTGAGTACTCTACTACTTGAGCCATGCCTTAAGCACTGTAACCATTTTTTCACTAGTTCTCATGATCATAATTGTTTTCCTGAACTTATTGTTGTTGTTCTGAACTAATCTCACCTTATTTATTTACAGGGAGGAAGTTTTATTTTGTCCTCAGTTGGATGTCAGCTGATCCGGTTGATACCTGAAAGCTCTGGGAAGATTCACCAGCACACCTTGCCCCAGGGGCATGGCATGCTCTCAGGAATCGGTCGCCGTGTTTCTTCCCTTTTCGGAATTTTGTCTCCAAGTAGTGACCTCATGGTAAATGTCTGGCTTATGCTTATCTTCTGTGTATGGAGGGAAAGAGGTACCAGTTTGGGTAGTTTGTTAAGATTGGAGTAGAGAGCTTTCACTAAACTACTAATGAAGCCTGGTGCCGGTGGCTCACGCCTATAATCCTAGCTACTCAGGAGGCTTGAGATCTGAGGATAAAGGTTCAAAGCCATCCAGGGCAGGAAAGTCCGTGAGACTCATGCTCCAGTTAATCACCAGAAATCTGGAAGTGGTGCTATGGCTCAAGTGGTGAGTGCTAGCCTTGAGCTGAAGATCTGAGGGACAGTGAAGTGGTGCTATGGCTCAAGTGGTGAGTGCTAGCCTTGAGCTGAAGAGCTGAGGGACAGCGCTCAGGCCCAGAGTCCAAGCCATATGACTGACAAAATACAATACTAATGAAGAATGTCTTCTTATCAAAATGAACTCCAAGAAATGGAAACAAGGTTTTTTATTGTACTGTTTTCAGTTATTTCTCTTCTTTTTCTTTGTTTTATTCCCTGTTGTCACTGTTTTTTATTTCTGTACCCTTTGTCTTGTATTAAGTTTATCTGATTTGGGGAAGAGAAGGTAAATCACAGAAATGGTGGGACAAAGAGTGAACCAATTCTACAGTGAGAGAGAAAAAGTGGGAGAAAGTGAGGGAGGGAAGGACACTGTTCTACAAGAAATTACTCATTACCTAACTTACATAACTAACTCCTCTGTATATCACCTTTACAATAAAATTTAAATTAAAAAAGAATGCCATCAAAAAAATATATCTGGCTTACAATAAAAAACTTGGTTTCTAAGTAAAGCCAATAAGTTGAAAGCTACAGAGAAGTTGGCATTGGCTCCATACAAATCAAAGCCATCATGTAAAATCTAGAGTGTGGTTTTTTTTTTTTTTGCCGGTCATGGGGCCTGAACTCTGGGCCTGGGCGCTGTCCCTCAGCTCTTCAGCTCAAGGATAGTGCTCTACCACTTGAGCCCATAGCGCCACTTCCAGCTTTTTCTGCTTATGTGGTGCTGAGGAATTGAACCCAGGGCCTCATTCATGCAAGGCAAGCACTCTACCACTGAGCCACTTTCCCAGCCCCTAGAGTGTGTTTTTTAAAGATTAATTTGACTTTTTAGCCTTCATGTGAAATACATCCTTCCTCCCAGACTTTCTGGAAATGGCTTGCATTTACACCTGTTGACTGGACTGCTGTCCCCACTCAGCCTGGGGAAGGGAGGGTAATGGGGTAATGCTTTAGGGAGTGTCTGCTCTTCGAGCAGCTCTGCATTTGCCCTCTCTTGTAATCATTATGACAGGCTATGAAGTATACAGCCTGTGTCTAGTTTGCTGATGATGAGGCTTAAAGCCATGACACTGTTCTTTGGGTCTCCCTCTCCTGTACAGTGCCTCAGTCAATCGCCAGGTGCTTCCTTCACGGCTTATTTCACCCTGGCTTCCTGTTCCTGTCTGTATGCCTGTCTGCACTCTGGTAAATCTTACCCAGGGACCTGTTCCAGTCCCGTTTGCTTACTGCTGGCCGTTTTTTCCCCATCCTTGTCCAGAGTTTTGGAGACAGATGTAGAGACAAGACCTTCCTTTGCTCAGCTTAGACAACCAGCTTAGACATCCAGCTTAGACAACACATATCTGCTTCATAAGTCAGTTACTACTTTGTAAGTCTGTCAGCCAACATCACACACGACAAATTTCACACATGCCCCTTCCCCCCCAGACTTGTTTAAGAACAGCTCTGCTCAAAAGGCTTGGGCAACACCTTGCTTGTTTACTGGGTTTATAGTCTTACACACAAGAATCCACTATATTTAATTTCGCATTTTTTTTTACTTCTATATGTATTTAATTACTTGTTTTTTTATTGGAACTAGAGAATGAACTCAGAACCTTGTGCATACTTGGAGAACACCCTTTATCCCAGTTACTTTTCTTTCCCATCCTTCTCTTGTTTTTGTTTTTTGGTTTTTTTTTGGGTCCAGTTGTGGGGCCTGAACTCTGGGCCTGGATACTGTCCCTCAGCTCTTCAGCTCAAGGCTAGTGCTTTACCACTTAAGTCACGGCGCTACTTCCGGCTTTTTTCTTTTTGCTTATGTGGTGCTGAGGAATTGAACCCAGGGCCTTAGGCATGCAAGGCAAGTGCTCTACCACTGAGCCACCTTCCCAGCCCTGTTTTTGTTTTTTGTTTTTTAACAGTCCTGGAGCTTGACTCAAGTCCTGGGCACTGTCCTGAGCTTCTTTTGTTCAAGGCTAGTACTCTACCACTTGAGCCACATCATCATTTCTGGCTTTTTCTGTTTGTGTGGTACTGAGGAATCAAACTCAGGACTTTATACATTCTAGGCAAGCACTCTACTACTAAGCCACATTCCCACCCCCTCTTATTTTTTTATTAGCATACATTGGAGGTACATGGGTGTTTTATTGTGACATTTGCAGGCATGTGTACAATGTATTCCACTCAATCTCATCTTCTCTATCACTCTCCCTTACCTTTCTCCCCCTTTCGAAATCAATTCTAACAGGTTTCATTATTGTATTTTTATGCATGCAAACAAACTGCATTCTTAATTTTTAAAGGAAGAGGCCTTATTGTTTTCCAGTTTAACAGGACTTGTTCCCTGAACATAGACATGGTAACTTGACCATCCCCCAGCTCTTCTCTTCCTGATTCTTTTGTGCTGTTTCTTTGTGCATATGGAGGTCCTACTTTGTTTTCAAGGTCTATTTCAGGAACTTTTCTTCCTTCAAATCCTGAGTGAGGGATTCTGGTGAGATGACAGTTACATAGCCATAAAGCATGAAATTCAAGATTCCAGCTAGAATCCAATTTGTAAGCATTTTCCCTTCACTGTGCAGTTGGCTGGTGTTCTTTGGGACAAAGGAAACTCGAGCTTCTATAGTCTGACAAACTCAAACATCAGTAAATGGGAATTGGATGACTCCTCAGAGAAACTAGCACACACTTGGGATGTACATCGAGCTCTAAAGGAAAACATCACTGATGCTATTTGGGTGAGGAACAATAATGTTTCTGTTTCTGGCTCATGTTTATGGTGTATGATGATATTCCTTCCTTATTTTTGTTTTATTTGCTTATTTTTTTGTTGTTTTTTATAATCTTGCTAATTAGCCTAGTCTAGGCTCAACTTTATGATTCTCCTGAGTGCTGGGTAACTGGTATATGCCACCACACCAGCCCTCCTGCCTTATCTATCTGAACACATTTCTATGTAATCTGAGAGGGTAGGGCCATCAAATAAGCAGAAGTAGTAGGGGGTTCAATCCCAACCTATAGTGGAACTTACTGATTAAGTATTTACTTGTTTAAATTATGGTTTCAAGTGTATGTTCCTCTCCACAACTGCTGCCACAGCTGTGGTGGCACCTCCCTGGGTGCCAGGATGCAGAGGTAAAAAGTCTGTCCTAGCAACCTTACATTTTGATATTTCCATCCAGGGATCTGAAAGCAACTATGAAGCTATTAAAGAAGGAGTCAACATTCGCTATTTGGACTTGAAACAAAACTGGTAAGCAGTGAATTTGTTGTAAAGAAATTAGATTACAGACTAGATGGTTCAGCAGTGAAGTGCCTGCCTAGTAAGAGGGAAGCCAGATTTCAAACACCTGTCGTGTAAAACATAAGCACTAAGCCATAGCAACTTACTTGAGAAGTCATTTATGCTAGCTGCTAGTACCATTCTCAGCCCTGCTCAGCCTCCTGTGCAGTCTTGCTGTCACCTAGACACTAGTTCATCCGAGAACTGAGGCTTTCCCACTTGAAAGCAGTATGTTCTTACCAGGGTGGCTGTCTGTTAGAACTGTCGCTTCTCTACTTTCAGCTAGAGCAGTTCTTTTGTCTTCAGGTGACACCAAGACTGCCCTTCTGCTGTCCTTGTGACTACCCCAAGCTGTAGTCTATGTCTTGTGGTGACATTGGGCACTTATGTTCTGAGGGAGCTCTGGTGGCTTAGCTGATGGCTAAGCTAAGCAGGCCAAGAATGGGACTAGGCTTTCTCTTGATAGTACAGTGAGAACTTGGTCATGGTTTATGCTTACAGTGAATTCTTCTTATAAACAATGCTGTGGCTGGGTGTGGTGGCTCACATGGGAGCCCATGGGAGGCCAAGCAAGAAGATAATGAGTACTGGTTAAACCTGGGCTACATAGTGAGACACTGTCTCCAGAAAAAGTAAAAAATCGAAGACTGTTTTTCATGTGTTTGATAACAGTGTTTACTGTGTTTTTATTTAGTGTAGTAACTAATTTTGCATGCAGGGATAGCATAGTAGTTACCTCTGTGTGAGTTTCTCTTTATGCTGTTGGGCTCTTAATGTACTACTCCTTCACTCACAGCTGGCACTACCACTGAGCCACATCTCCAGTCCATTGTGCTCCTTCTTTTTTTTTTTTCCCCCAGGGCTGAGGACCAAACCCAGGGCCTTGCCCGCACCCTTCCACTGGGCTAAACCCCCAGCCCCTCCTTTAGTTTGAAAGCCTTCTAAAAGTTACCAGAGAGCTGAAATAGTAGTGTTTACATCCCTTAACAAACATTTTGGTTACATACAGTACACATATTTTCACCTATCTGTAGTGGACTTTTAGAAATAGAAGCGTGCTGCTTATACATAGCCCCTGTGGGTTTCACAGTGAGTGTTCAGATAAAATGGGGGACAGAACAAACTGTGCTTATGAATTGCTGTTCTGGAGCTTTGCTTCCCACTTGTCCTGTGACAGTCTCAGTCTTAGTAAGCTTGCACTTTTCCTCAAACCTTCTCTACCTGTGCTAATATGAGTCTGCTCTCTCAGGTTATTAAGGTCTGTGGTCAGACATATGGAGAATTCAACCCCTGTGTGAGTGTCTTCTCCTTGAGAGCAATACCTGTCCTGAGTGTTAACAATGTTCCCTATTTTATCCAGTGCTACAATCTGACAGCCTGAATCTATATTTCAGTGTGCAGACTTATAAATTCTTTTACTAAATACTGGTAAATTCCACATAGGTATTTTCATTTTAAACCTTGGACTTTTTTATCTTAAATTTATCACCTTTATTACTTCTCAGAATTTTATTAAAATAGCTTCATGACTTTTTTTTTTTTTTTTTGGAGGTCCGGTCGTGGGGCCTGAACTCTGGGCCTGGGCGCTGTCCC